CGTGCGAGAAGTCGGCCGACGCTGGCGAGCGACGGTTCTGCCAACCCCGGTGTCGAATCTCGGTAGCGCACCGAGCGAGGCGCCATCGCCAGACTATGACCACCTCCAGCATGTCGCACCCAGGGCATTCCAGAGGCGGCACCGTCGCCAAGTATGCTGCTGCGGCGCAGCACATGTATACAGACACATGCAGATGTATGCATGTATGTATGTATGTATGTATGTATGGATGTATGGGTGTATGGGTGTATGGATGTATGGATGTATGGATGTATGTATGTATGTACGTATGTATGGATGTATGGATGTATGGATGTATGGATGTATGGGTGTATGGGTGTATGGATGTATGGATGTATGGATGTATGGATGTATGGATGTATGGATGTATGGATGTATGTATGTATGTATGTATGTATGTATGTATGTATGTATGTAGGTAGGTAGGTAGGTAGGTAGGTAGGTAGATGTATGTATGTATGTATGTATGTATGTATGTATGTATGTATGTATGTATGTATGTATGTATGTATGTATGTATGTATGTATGTATGTATGTATGTATGTGTGTATATATGTATGTATGCACATACAGTTATAGACTAGAACCATAGCGCGCGCGCTTCGCGCGCTCTCGGGTTCTAGCAGGCCCCCGGCCATGACGAAGTCACTGCTCCACTGAAGTAGCGGACCACAGTCCACGCATACACTTTAGGCGATGCTTAAGAAAACTTAAGTTTTCGGCCAGAGTCTAGATTATTCTTATTGTTTCAATGGAAATCCCAACTTTTTAGTAGAAGTTGGGGGTTTTTATTCAAATTCTGAGACTATGAATGTCTCAACCCATGATTTCTTAAGCATTTCGCAGGGTGTACCAATCTGCATTCCGAGAGGCCTTCGAGGAGAATTGTTGTGTAGGGGGCGGAGGCCGTATGAATCGGGTTCCCAGAAGGCCCTCTGGGAGCATGGGTTTGGGGCGTCTTGGGGAGCCTGTGGGGCGTGCCGTCGTCGTCGTCGTCGTCGTCGTCGTCGTCGTCGTCGTCGTCGTCGTCGTCGTCGTCTTCGTCGTCGTCGTACACCTATATAAATATTCCTCTTCCTATACGTTTATAAGCCCCGGGGGGGGGGGGGGAACCCATCCCCCCCCCAAAACCGGACTCCCGGGATCTGGGGCTTTGGGACCCTCCAGACGGGCCTCGAAGCGGCCACCGGGCCTCACATGGCGTTTTGCCAAGCCTTCCCAGCACACCTAGGGCGATCAGGGGGGTCATCGGAGACGTCCCAGAGACCCCCAAGACAGCACAAGAGCGCTCCAAGAGTGACCGACGTGACCTCAAGATGGCCCAAGAGGCCTCCAGGACGGCCCCAAATAGGCCTCCCAAAGCACTCCCAAGAAGGCCCCCCGAGGCCAAAATCATACATTTTCTGTGGGTTTTGGTTAATTTTAGGGTTCTCCTCTTTTCGGCTTCCCGACGCTCCAAGACGGCGGTCTTCTGAGCGTCCGAAGCCGCCTGGGAGGCTCCAAGATCGCCCCACAACCATCCGAAAGGGCTTCCAGGCAGTCCAAGAGAGCCCCAAAACGGCACAACACGGGTCCAAGATGGCCCTCAGAGAGCCCCATGGCGGCCCAAGATGACCCAAAGACACCTTCCGAAGAATTCCAAATCGTGATTCGGTCGTTCAGGGAGACCGCGGTTAGAGGCAGGGTGGCCCGAGGAAGCCCCCAGAGGCCCTCAGAATACGCCCAGGAGGTCTCCAGAAGGCTTTAAGAAAGCCTGAAACAACTTTTGTGAGGCCCCCAGAGGCTCTCCAAGGAGGAGCCTCCGCAAAAAAGAGCTGAGGAGGATGGGGAGAATGCGCAGGGCATGGCGAAAATAAGGAAAAAGAAGCATGGAGGAAGGATATCGAATAACATTATTATAGCGGCGATGCCAGAAAAGGCAACCAGGAGTTATCTCTAAGTTGTCGCCTTGACCTTCCTGCTATTCCGCCTGCATACCAAACTTCAAGGACCAAGGTGCATGGCGCGAAGCGCCACTGCAGTCTTGTGTGTGTATATATATATATATATATATATATACACCCGGGGTCCAGGCCAGGGGGCCCTAAGGGCAACCTCAACCTCCAGATCGCCATGCCGGTGGCAGGGATTTTCTGGCCTTCGAATACGGGCCAGGAAGCCCCCAACAACTTCCACGATTGTCCAGCAAGGATCCGACATGGATTTGAATGATCGACAACCGCCTCAAGACGCACAAGATGACCCCAAGACGCGCCAATAGACCGCCCACGACGCCTCCAAAAGCCCCCAGATAGCGGCCCGATAGTCCAAGCTCAGTGTTTTATTGTGCTTTCTATGGTTTTGTGCGTTTTGGCGTTGTCGGGCGTCCGACAAACTAAAACGCACCAAGAGGTCCCCAAGACCAGGAGGCCACCGAGAGAGCCCCAAGACGACCTAAAAGGGCTCTACCACTGCCCAATAGGGCCTCAATCTAGCCCACAAGAGCCCCAAGATGGCCCCAAGAGACGCCCAAGAGGGGCACGCGAGCCGACCATTCGAGCTTTCCGCCCCAAGAGGCCCCCTAGAGGTCGCAAGAGGCCCCCAGGGGGCCCCCGCAGGCTCCCCGAACACCCCTGAAGGGCTTCAAAACGGCGTCCCAAGGCCTCGGTTCAGCCTTGGCGAACAAGTTTCGGGCCCCAAACCGTCACCAGGAGGAGGGGGTGGTGGAAAGAAGGATATTGAAACAGGACCGAAAGGGAGCGGCCGCGTACTGTGTCTGCGCACGCCCACATAAGGACGAAACTGAGAGGGAGGCGGAGACACCAAAGGCAGGGGTGAGGCAGGAACAACGGAACACAAGGGAGAGGGACTATGAGGGACAATGAGGCCATAATGTGGACGAAGGCTCAGAAAACAATAGAGCGCAGGAGAGGGCAACGAGAAGCAAGTTGGGAGACGATGGCCACGACATGTTGAGTGAAGTAAGCCGACCAGTAGCAAAGTAGCATCA